GGAAGAGGGGGTGGAAAGATTGTAAGAACCAGGGAGGAGGTGCATGACCATAGGCAAATAGAGTCCTACAGGCTCCTGGGACTCTTATAGGAACCTACAACAATGGTGTCACATGTACAAGACCCATGCAAACTCAAGCAGACCAAAACCCAGCACAGAACTCTGGAATGGACAGCAAGCTCCAATCTTAAAGAATTATTGGCAGCTAGATTACTGCTGGGTGAGGAAGAGCTGATCTTAAAGGGAAGGATTCTAGATAGGCTGACTAGACTTCAATGGATGAGCTTGCACTGAGGGAAAACTGGGGACACTAACCTGACATGATAAGTCGTAACACAATGACAGACTGTATGAATTCCACTGAGGGAGGGGGTTGGGAGGAGGTCAATGGGGAAGGGGGTATAAGGATGATTAAGATGTTCTGTATGAAATATTCAAGAATTCAATAAATTTTAAAAAATAATATTTAAAAAAATAGAGTACATGGAATTGGGCAGGAAGTAGTTGGGGGTGAAAATGAGGGAGGGGATCTAAATTCTATATTGTATGAAATTCACAAAGATTCAAAAGAAAGATTCAATTCCCAGCACCTACATGGTGGCTAACAACTGTCTGTAACTCCAGTTCCAGGAGATCCGGCACTTTCTTCTGACCTCCACATACATTTCATGACATGGGTGCACTTACATACATGCAGGCAATACTCATACACATAAAATAAAAACAATAAAATATTTTGGGACTGGAGAGATGGCTCAGTGGTTAAGAGCACTGACTGCTCTTGCAGAGGATCCAGGCTCCATTCCCATGAGCACCCACATGGCGGCTAATAACCATCTGTAACTCTAGTTCCAGGGGATATGACGCCTTCTTCTGACCTCCGAGGGCACTGCACAACATCAGTGCACGTACATACTTTCAGGCAATACACTCATACATATATAAAAATAATAAATAAAAATATAAAAAAAATGAATTAATACACGCACAGCCTCCTAAGCCAAAAGAGCATGAATAATGTCTCTGAGAACAGAAAGGAACAGAATCTAAGGGACAGAAAGGAGGAAACTGGAGGAGAGGGGATGAGAGGGGGACATCAGGTTGGTAGGTAGCTGGGACAGGCCATATAAGGCCTGAATTTCACTCTGGCTCCAATGAAAAGCCACTGTAGGGCCTACACCACAGAATGAATGATTTGATTCAGCAAGATCACACCGACTGCCATGGGGCAGACATAGAAGAAACCGAGAACAGAAGCAGAGAAGGTGAAGCTTCTGGAATTCTCTAGCACTGCTTGCAGAAGTGTAAAAGTACTTTGGCTATTCCTATTATTCCACCCTGTGACCAGCAATACCAAGCCATATACCCAACAGGAATAAAACCATATGAGCATCAAGCACAGGAATACTCATAACAATATGATGTGTACTATCTCCAAACTAGAAACAACTAATATGACCACCATAGCACAGTACATGACAGATTGTGGTGATGGATAAACATAATCACCACAAAAAGGGGGGGAGGAGCTAGAGAGATGGATCAGAAATTAAGAGTGTTTTCTGCTCTTCCAGAGGACCCGATTTCAGTTCCTAGTACCCACAATGGACAGCTCATCTGCCTGTAATTTCAGCTCCAGGGTATCCAACATCCTCTTCTGGCCAAGGTAGGCACCTGCACACACATGACATACATTCCCACAGACAGACAGACACACAGACACACACCTATAAATAAACATTAATTTTTTGAAAAAAGAAACTATTCAGTTTTGCCAGCATCAATTGTTGAAGATGCTGTCTTTCCTCCATTGTGTGTTCTTAGAACCTTTGTCAAATATCAGCCCTTTTTTTGTTTGTTTGTTTGTTTGTTTGTTTGTTTTGTGTTGTTTGAGACAGGGTCTTTCTGTAGCCCCAGCTGACCTGGAACTCACTATGTAGACCAGGCAGGCCTTGAACTCACAAAGATCCACCTGCCTCTGCTGGGACTAAAGGCATGAGCCACCACGCCCAGCAAATATCAGCCCTTTTTAAGGCACAAAATGATATGATGACTATGAAGATGCAGTCTGAGAGACTTTCAAAAGAATATGATCAACTCCTGAAAGAACACTTGGAACTTCAGAATTGTTTAGAAGACAATAAGAAAGGCCTATGACCATTACAGAAGAAGATTATGATATACAGTTTCAAGATAAATTTGTTATCATGGTAGCAACTAAAAAAAATTTTAATTCAATTCAAAAAATGTTTTATTAGCAACCAGTTCTTTTTTTAATGACATGTACAGCCTATATAGTAGTGACATTATGAAAATATCTGATGTTTTAGACATAAAGTATTTATTTCAGCCCTGTAGAAAAAATATAAACATGTTATGCCAGGCATGGTGGCGCACGCCTTTAGTTCCAGTATTTGGGAGGCAGAGGCAGGCAGATCTCTGGCTTCAAGGCTACCCTGGTCTACATACTGAGATCCAGGCCAGCTGGGGCTATAGGGAGACCCTGTCTCAAAAATACCAAAAAAAAAAAAAAATGCCTATTTACATATTGCTAACAACACTGGTATATGGTGGCTGTTTACCAACAAAAGGAAAAATTCATTAGTCATTTACTTCCAAGATTAAATTTTATTTAAGTTGCATGAAACCAGTAATAGCCTTGGTGGTGATGATAATGATATGTTTGAAAATAGTACTCAATATCAGAAAATTTGTTCACAGGGAAATGAAATAAGTATAAGTGACCAGAATGAGCCACTATATTTATGAAGAGTCAGAGCAGTGAAAACAATGGCCTTAGGGTTTTTTAAGCCTAAAGATTCTATATGTTTTACTCTACATAAGACAGCACTATTTATAATTATATTTTTGTTACTATGCTTATGTACTTCTTAGATTATTTTTCATTTATATTTGTTTTAGTAACACAATAAGTATTCTACCTTTTCAAGTTCATCTAGTTATTACTAGACTTTATGTCCACTTGCATAACTGTCATAACACTGACTGAACGTATTTTACAATGTAGAATTCTGCACTTAAAAACTCAAGTATGGGGCTGGAGAGGTGGTTCAGCGGTTAAGAGCACTGACTGCTCTTGCAGAGGACTCAGGTTCAATTCCCAGCGCCCACATGGTGGCTATGAACCGTCCTTGACTCCAGTTCCACGGGAATCCGAAGCCCTCTTCTGACCTCCTCAGCATTGTGTGACACAGGTGCACTCACATACATGCAGGCAATACACTCATACACATAAGAATAATAAATAAAATATTTTAAAAAAACCCTCAAGTATGACATCCAAAGAGCAGTGTTTTCTATGGTTGTGATAGCTATTAATTAAACAAACATTATCTCAAACATACATACACTGGTATCATAGAATTTCTCTGAGTCTGAGATGTTCCTATATTCTGAAAGTTAAATACTGTTTTTCATTCAAATATTCATTTAGAGGTAATGACTATAATAATACAATTTAGGTTATTTCAATGTTTAAATATGAAAAGCCACTTTCCTTGTCTTATAAAGACAAATATAAAAGAAAATGGAAAATAAATGAAGGAAGGAAGGAAGGAAGGAAGGAAGGAAGGAAGGAAGGAAGGAAGGAAAGAAAGAAAAGAAAAACATCAGGAGGCAGAGGTAGGCAAATCTCAGTGAGTTCAAGGCCAGTCTGGTCTACATAGTGAGTTCTAGGCCAGCTGGGCTACAGGGAGACCCTGTCTCAAAAAGACCCAAAAAAGAAAAAAGAATGACTGGGTTCTAGCAATCACTGATATCTGACTGAGTATACCTTCAAGCAAAACAATATTACTTAATTTCCTAGACTCTCTGCAGCCGAAATTACATTATGTTGAAATTATGTTGTATGCTACAACATACTCCAAGTTCCCCAATCCTCACAAAGAACCCTTTCAGGGCAGGAAAAAAAGAGAAGAAAAATGAGAAGTTGATAGGGCAGTCTAAAATTCAGTCCAAGGTGCCTTCCATTGTGCAGGATAAGAAGAAATTTTTACCCTATAAAAACTCCCTAGCAAAAAACTTTATTTCAGTCAACTTGTCCAAACCACCACTCAAAAGACACCTTACCTTCACCAGTACATAGTCCCCAGGCTGAGCTCTGACCTTGAACCCAGGGTTAGCAACATCCTCCACCTCTGCATCAGGGAAGATCACCTTAAGATTTCCATCATTCCGGCCACACAGGTCAGTGGAAGAGCGTTTGCTGAACTGCAAAAAATAAAGAGAAGAATTTATGAATCTATCATAGTCATAAGTTTTAGGAGGGCTGACATTGCCAGCTATCTTGAACTCTCCAAGGTCTTACCCAAAGAGCATTCCTTAACAAGGAATCCATGAAGGCTCAGCGTACCTGGCTACTCCAACAGCAGAACCAGTGTGGCACACAACAGAAACAAGTTTTGCTGTTTTAATGAATCAATGAAACTATGTGGCTTCTATATGAATGAACTTTCTTTTTTATATTTTTTTGTTACATTTGTTTATGTGTATGAGTGTTTTGCCTGCACATATGTAAGTGTATCCATGTCATACAGTTCCCTAGGAGGACAGAAGAGAGTGTCAGGTCCCCTGGAACTGGAATTACGGACAACTGTTAGTCACCATGTGGGTGCTGTGATTTGAACCTGGGTCTTTTGCAAGGACAGCCAGTGCTCTTAACTGTTGAGCCATCTCTCCAGTCCCAGGAATGAATTTTAAACAAACCTCAGTCAAGGTACTTGTGGGTGATGCACTTGACAAATCAGCTTCTGTGTTTCCCCATCTCATACTAATCACTTAGGACTGTTCCAGAGCTTTTTGCCCTGAGTTACTTGACACTTGAATAAGCAGATTTGAAGCTAGAGTATCTATCACAACCTGGCACCAGAAAGAAGGATAAGCAAGCCATGATGATAGGATGAAGTTCTAGAACACACACCAGTCTTTCTATTCCTGCCATGATGCAGACACAAGAACCAAATATTCCCCAGCCTTAAATCAGGAATTAAAACAAACTATAAGAAACAACTACTTTCAGATATTAGAAAATAGATCACACAAGGCTATGACCTGTCAGACATGGAAAATAAACAAATGAGTCCTCCATTCATTCCCACTTTCAACCAGAAGGCACATGCCAGTCAGATCATGTAAAGCAAAGAGGATCTTAAACACAGCATGGGGTTCTCTTTCCATGATGAAAGAGAAGGATCAGAGGTCAGGCTACTGGATATATTAAGAAATTATGAAGGAGGGGTTGGAGAGATGGCTCAGTGGTTAAGAGAGCACTGGCTGTTCTTGCAGAAGACACGGGTTTGAATCCCAGAACCCACATGACAGCTAACAACTATCCCTAACTCCAGTTCCAGGCGATTTGAAGCCTGTCCTCCTCAGGGATTACATGACACGGGTGCACTTACATACATACATGCAAGCAATACACGCATACACATTAAAAAAAAAAAAAACAAAGATAATAAATAAAATGTAAAAAAGAAATTGTGAAGCAAATTCTGGAAAAGAGAGAGTTAAGTACAATGAAGGACTCTAGAAATATCTATGAGCTTCTATTGAGTCCTTGCTAAACATAAATGCATACATGTACAGAGTAAAACTTCATGGACTCAGGCCAATGGATTCACCTTCCCAGAGTTCACATAGAACTGAGAATTATTTGAACTACCATCAGATGGTCTTCACTGTTTTTTGAGGACATTCAATAGCAACTTCCAAAAGGCAACATTTTAATAGTAAGGCTACCTAATATAAAAAAGCATTTCTAGGGTCTAGGAATGTAGCTCAGTGCTCATCCAGTATGTATCAGGCCCTGGGTTCGATACCAATACCTCAAAAAAACTGGGTGTGGAGGCTGGCCCATGTCTGTAATCCCTACACTCAGGCGGTGGAGGCAGGAGATTAGAATTTCAAAGTCATCCTTAGCTACACAGTGAATTTAAAACCAGCCTTGACTACCTGAGATCCTCTATCAAAAACTATAGAGCTTTTATTCTTTCTTTCTTGTTTTTTTTTTTTTTAAGACTCTGATGACTTTCTATC